CATCGCCATGAAATTAGTAACACTTGACAGGTTATTTCTGTCTGACTCAGCCCATTTTTGCTTCAGACTCCTAGATCCCAAGCCCCTAATTCTAACCCAGGCCTTTGACCAGCATTGGCCAACCAAGGGGTTCAGGTTTTCCCAGGGAATGTGAGCAAACACTGCAGCCCTGTTCCCGACAGTACTTTCCACGATCACTCTTCCACCTAGGAACTAGGACCATTTCCCTGGTTCGATGGGGCCTCATCCATTTGTCCAATGGGTGAAGGTGTACATGTCATAATGGGCATTATGTCACAAGATGAGACAAGGGCTAGTGTGTGAGATAACTGCTGGACCGGGTCAGAGCTTATGTACAGTTACTTGACAAGATAAGTAACATTTTTGGAACAATGAGAAGCAAGCTACCTCGAATTAGCTTATCTCAACCCAAGCCTCCAGTTCCTCCTTATGTTCCTAAAAGAATTCATCTTCTAAGCAACCTTCCTAACTTGAATCCTAACCCTTCTGGCCCCACCCCCGTGTGGCACTCACCTCTCTGTCTTTTCTGCCCTACAGCTCTCCCTCCTCTGAATACCACCAACTCTTTCCACTACCCCACCCATGTTATTTACCTTCCCAGTTATTCCTGTGCTCCTTCCAGGCCACCCAACTTTCTGCCCCCTTTAGCGTAGCCCCTCTTCTAGCTATTCCTCTATCTTTGCCCCTATTTGTCCCTCCTAGCCCCTCTTTCTGGTACATAGATTTCTGCTCCTCGTCAACGCTCAAGCCCCCTCCCCCCTTCTCCCATCCAGACCTTCTAATTCACAAATATTGCCCCGGAGAGATAATCCCCCTACCCGTGGCACAGCTCTGGTGCAATGTAGAATCTCTAGAACTGTGGATTGCCAGCAGCCGACCTGGTGGACATGAGACATTCGAGGTGAAGGCCTGACAACATTCAGCTTGGAGGGTAAGCTCGGTTCCTTACAGGACCCCCTGTTTTCAGCCGTGATGTGATACTTAATCTCATTTGTACAATGTCTTCCTTTGCAGTCTATCAATCCCCTTCAGATGCCGGAGACACCTTTAACAAGTTCCCATTTCCAGAGCGTCTGTTCCTTTCCTCTCCTGCCTGACCAGGCAGCCTGCAGAGGCCTCTACCTTTGTCATTGGCTTCTCCATGGAACTGGGCCAGTGACCACAGAAAAAACAGCAAGAAGAGTGAAAAGTGGAAAGCACCTAATCTGATCTCTAGGAGGTTAAGTCCATTTGATTTACCCTGAGTTAAATTGAATGTAAGAATGGGTGGCCCCTGAGAACTCATACACAGGGTACGAGTCCCTACTATTGATACATAAGGACACAAGGCTTTTTTAGTCTGGTTCCTTTAAACTGTAATTTTTTTTGTATCCTAGAATTCTAGGACCTTGGAATTCTACACATTTCTGCCCTTGAAAAATGCCTACTGCAGGAAAGAAGGGACCCTCCACTGTGTTCTCTTCACAGCTCTGGGATTAGCCTCTTTCTCCGCCTGCAGCCTACACCCTGGAATGTGGCAGGTCGCAGTGTCTGGAAGGAAGAACCTGTTCAGATTCTGCCCAGGTGACAGCATCAGAAGAATGCATGTTCTGCATTTTTTAAAGTACTCTCCTCTGTAATACTGTCAACAATTTTTTCAAAAGTAAATAAAGCACCCTCCTCAAATGCATATATAGATTCAGTGCAATCTCAATCAAACTTCTAACACATAGTTTGGGGTAACTTCACAAGCTGATCATAATTTATATGGAAAGGAAAGTTTCAGAATAACCAAGGCTTTCTCTAGTAGGAACCATTTCCCTAACAAATATCAAAACTTACAACAGGCCCTAGCTGGTGTAGCTCAATGGATTGAGCACGGGCCTGTGAACCATACAATTGCGGTTCAATTCCCAGTCAGGGCACATACCGGGGTTGCAGGCCGGTTCCCAGCAGGGGATGCACGAAAGGCAACCATACATTGATGTTTCTCTCCCTCTCTCCTTCCCCTCTAAAGAAGAAATAAATAAAATCTTTAAAAAAAATTACAGGAATTAACATGATGTAGTAATGGTGCAAGACAAAAGACAAATGACATAGACTAGAGTCCAGAAACAGACTCACACATATGTAGACATTTAAGACAAAAATAACATAATGACACAGTGGGGATACAACAGTCTTTTTGATAAGTTGGTTCTGCATCAACTGGAAATGCTCAAGAAAAAAAATACCTCTAATTATAGACTGCACTACTATCAAAATTCAGTTTCATGAAAACAGATCCAAATGTGAAGGGTAAAAATAATGAACTCTTCCAGAATTGCTGTGGCTGTGCCTGGCTATTGAACACTTGAGATGTGATATAAAATGTAATCTTTTTACTGGGTTTTAAACACTTATCCCTGACAGGCATGGCTCAGGGGATTGAGTGCCAGCCTGTAAACTGAGAGGTCACTGGTTTGATACCCTGACTTATAACAGGTCAGGGCACATGCCTGTTATAGGTCAGGTCCCTAGTTGGGGGAGCATGAGAGGCAACCAACTGATGTTTCTGTGGCTCTCTTTCTCCCTCCTTTCTTCCCCTCTCTCTAAAAATAAATAAATACAAAACCCTTAAACACTGAGTATATTTAAAATCTCAATAATTTTTATATTCAATTGTTAAAATAAGAAATTGGATATATTGGGTTAAATATTTGGAAATTTTCTGTTTTGTTTTGCTCTTTTACTTAGATAACAGAAAATTTTAAATTACATATGTAGTTTTATATTTCTTACTAAACAGCAAAGATCTAAAAGGTATTGTAAGAAAATATCTTCCCATATCAAATTAGGAAAAATGTCTTAAGTGGCATTTAGAAAGCACTAACCATAAAAGGAAAGACCTATACATTTGACCACAATTAAATGTAAAGGAGACACCATTATGTACCTTTTAGTTATCTTCTTGACTAAGAAGACAAGTCATACAATAGGGAGATAAATTTCCAGCACATACAACTCTGAAAGGGCCTATATCAACAATATATTAATATAGAGAACTCCAACAAATTGATTAACAAAATACTATCAATCCAAGAGAAAAATAAGAAAATATTTGAAAAAGGCACTTCACAAAAGAGGCTATCCAATAACCAATACACATGCAAAAAAACCCTCAAAACTTGTTCAACCACGCTGGTTAATAGGAAAACGCAAGTTAAAACCATGAATTGTTAAGCTCTGGCTGGTGTAGCTCAATGGATTGAGCACGGGCCTGTGAAACAAAAGATCACTGTTCAATTCCCAGTCAGAGCACATACCTGGGTTGCAGGCCAGTTCCCAGCAGGGGCCAGTTCCCAGCAGGGCACGCATGAGAAGCAACCATACATTGATATTTCTCTCTGTTCCCTTCCCTTCTAAAGATAAACAAAACAAAACAAAACAAAAAAACAACCATGAATTGTTATTATGTACCCATCAGATGACTGTGATTAAAAAGACAGTATCATGTGTTGGCAAGGATGTGGAGCAACAAGAACCCTAGTAGCAGTAGAGTAGTATATCAGCTCTACTATTTTGCAAAACAGTTGGTATCATCTACTAAAAGTGAACCATAGGCATGTCCACTATGCCTATGGTAAAAAGTAGATTATTATCTACTAAAAGTAGCAATTCCATTTCTAAGTATACAGCCATGTGCAGTAAGAGTGATCTACAAAAACGTCCATGCAGCATTATTGGTAATAGTCCTTACTGAAGCAACACAGGGCCATCTGTATAGCATCCATAAATAAATTGTGGTTTAGTCAGAAAATAAAATGCTGTACCGTAATGAAAACGATGAAACCACGGCTCTACACAGCAGCGCGGGTGAACTTCACAAACATAATGTAGGTGAAAAGAAGCCAAACACAAAAGCATGCGCATTGTATGAATCCTCTCATACAACGTGCAAAACATGTGAAGTCTAATGTATGGAATCAGAGGTAGTGGTTACATTTGAGGAGAAAGGAGAAGGCAGTGTTTGAGAGAGGCTCCCTGAGGATGGTTGATGCTCTATTTCTGGGCTCATATGATGGTGAAATATGTGTACTTTGTGGTAAATCCCTGCGAACTACATTTTGGAAGAAAGCACTTTTCTGTTGTATGTGTGATGTTTCACAATAAAAAGATTGTGGTTTTTGTTGCTTTTTTGTTTAAGTGCTTCTCAAGAATCCCTGACTTGTGACTGTGAGTTGGGACAAGTTGCAGTGTCTGGAGGAAGGTGCAAGGATCTCTCGTAAACATCCCAGCCCTCCCCACCGGCCAAAGCAGAGAGAGGATCATGTGGCTTGGCTCCTTTACGCATTAATATGGTGACTGGGCATTTCTAAACATAAACCAACCTGGCGCGTTTGTCAAACCTCATTGGGTCAGGATGCACTGTTTTTAATATACTGATGGATATTATTTTCTAATACATAGTTCAGAAATTTTTCATGTATGATCATGAGAAATATTTCTTTTAGTTGTCCTTTTTGTAATAATTTTTCTGTGTTTGGTATCAAAACAATCCTGACTTCATAAAGCGAGTTAGGAAATGTTCCCTCCACTTGTTTTCTGAAACATTTTCTTCATTCTGTGTTTGACAGATTAGGCAGAAGAGCCATCAGGGCCTAGAGATTTTATGTTGTGGGAGGTTTTTCAATTTAATATATTTTTGAATAGATATAAAACATTGCAAATTTTCCCATTTTTTTCAGTTCTGAAAATTTATATTTTTACAAATTACCCATTTTGTCTAAGTTGTCAAACTTATTGATGAAATTCTTCATAGTATATCCTTACTGTTCATTTAAAGTCTGTATGATGTATAGTGATGTCCCATTTTTTATTCTTTAAGATAGTCCTTTGTGTCTTTTTTCCTTAGCCTAGCTATAAGTTTATCCATGTTGTCAATATTTTCAAAAAAACAGTTTTTGCATTCTTAAAAAAGATTTTATTATTTTTAGAGAGAGGCAAAGGGAGGAAGAGAGAGAGAAACATCAATGTGCAGTTGCCTCTCGCTGGGGACCTGGCCCACAGCCCAGGCACATGCCCTGGAATTGAACCACCAACCCTTTATTTCTCAGATGGGCACTCAATCCTCTGAGCCACACCAGCCAGGGCTCAAAAAATCAGTTTTTTACTTTTTTGGTTTTCTCTATTGCTTGCCTATTTTTCATATAATTGACTTCTACTCTTATCTTTATTATTTTTCTTCTACTTCTTAATATTTATTGTTTTGTTCTTCTTTTTTCCAGATTCCTAAGATAGGAGCCTCATCCACCAATATCGTACTTTGATTCTTTTCTAATACCGGTATTTAAAGCTATAAATTTCCCTTCTCCTTCTTCCTCTCCCCTCCACTCCCCTCCCCCTTCTCCTCCTGTTCTCCAGTTTACTGCTCTACGAATTTCCAGTGCCTCACACTCCATGGACCTCAATCTGTTTCCATCTGTGTTCTCCCAACAAGGCAAATTTCCTGGCTCAGCTTGGGTTTCCCTTTCCTGCTCATCTCAGAAAGTGTCTCCAGGCAGAAATTAAGGGCAATTGTGGAGATCACATCTTATCATCCAGTGTCTGAAAAGAATTGTTTTGTGTACTTTGTCCAGCTGTTCATAGCAGGAGGTCAAACTTAGTCCCAGTTCCTCTGCTGTGGCTAGAAGTAAAAATCTTACTTTATATCTTCACCCTATATTGTACCATCCTAATCTCCTCACCCAAACGGACATTAACTCTATACCATGCAGAACTAGTCTTGTACCATATAGATTGGTTTGTTTCTAGTTTCAATGAATAGTATTACATTAGAAACTTTAGCCTTTTCTAGTTTATTCAGTCAACATTGTTTCTAAAGGTCTGCCTTATTGCTCTGATACATCTAGTGTGTGATTCTGTCACATAGTTGTCTCACCAGGACACAATGTTTATTTCATTTATTAAGATATTTTCGTGTTATGAAATTGTACTAATTTTTTTAGTCATAAAAGTTTCATGCATTCCATCAGGTTAATTCCTACATAATTCAGTTTGTCACGAAAGTGAGTATTTTATTTCCTAGTTGATTTCTCCCTATTATCTGGGTCTCGGCATCTGATCCTAAATGAAAGGTAAGCCAGAAACTTCAAGAAATATCTGTAACCTCACACACCAGATGAGTGAGATAAAGGACCAGGACAATTACGTTTTTCAGCTCTTCAGTATTTCTCAATACACAGTCTGAGTTTAGAAGCACACTGATGGCCTGGAATGACCCAAAGTAAACAGAAGCTAGCCCGAGTCACTGGGATGGCTTGCCCTATATCAGGGCTCCATATCAGGAAACCATAAGAATGTGGAGCTCAGGTAGAGGTGAAGCTACAGCAATTTCAACCCCTCTTCATTCTGAGCCCCGGCCCTGTGTGGAGGAAGGGCTACACCACTGAGCACAGGCTGAAAAAATGTCAGTGTGCCTGGGGCAAACAGTCTTGCCAGTTGTCCCAGAGCTTTACAGTGTAGCTCCTTAGCAGAATGACAACTCAGTCTTAGGAAGGTAGTGAAGACTTCAGGAGGCTTTTTGAGCCTCACTAGGAAAAGGGACCCAGGCATGGCTCACAATGGCAAGTTAACAAAGGCGCATCTCCAGCTCAGTCAGCATGTGATAAAATCTGTAATGATGTAAGAAGAAAATCACGGTGCCAGTGGGTTGGACATCCAGTCAGCAGCAAACATTTACCAAACATCCACATCTGTATCGTGCCAGGTACTAATAATACAGAGGTGGACCAGACAGAGTTGTTGTTCTCAAGTAACTTAGATATAAACAAATTAGTAAAAGCATTCTAAAATTGCAGATTTGGGGTAGAGCATAGGCACAAAGAAAAACTGGCAATAGAGTCCAATAAGGTTTTTGAAAGATGAGTGCATGTGAGCTCATTATAAACACTGGGTAGGTGTTCCCCAGGTAGACAATGCAGGAACGAGCCTTCCAGGCCAAAGGGCAGGAGCTAAAGTAAGGAGTCACGAAGTCGCTTGCCGGGCTCAGGAAATTGTGGTCTGGGCACATATGTTCACATAATTGACATGTTCAACACTGCGTCCCCCAGACCTAAGCACATCCTGGTACACAGTCGTGAAGGACTGAGTGCCTCGAGGGAGGAAAGAAGAGAGACACAGTGGGAAGAACACAGGCTTTGGAGTCAGTGTTTAGGTCCTTAATTTTAAAACCAGGGGTGGCTCCTTTCTTTGTGCTAGGCCTATTTTGGGTTCTTTTAAAAGAAACTATATTATATAAGGTATCTAGAGTGGTCAAATTCGGAACAGAGAAAGTAAAATAATGGATGCCAGAAGCTGGCAGTAGGGGAAATGGGGAGTTATTGTTTAATGGGTATGAAAAAATTCTGAAGATTGGTCTCGTACAATGTAAATACACTTAACGCTACTGAAATATGTACTTCAGAATGGTTCAGAAGGCAGAACTTTGTATATTTTATCACAATTAAAATTTAAAAAAAACTATAAAGCCCCCCAGTTACTCAAATTAGGAAAGGATTATTTTGTCTACATTATCACATGGATGACCTGGGCCGAATGCCTTCTCAGCTATGAGACCCCTGCTGTTTTGTGAAACAGACATAGAAGGTTTGATTCTGGGTATTTGCTTTAAGGCAAGAGAGGTTTCTTTCATATTTTTTCTCATTTGTAATTTTAATCAAAGCATTGCTAATATCTAAGTAAACTTTTTGAGGAAAGAAACATCATTGAGAATTTCCCCCCAGAACAAAACATGTTCACTCCCCCAAACAATCAAACTCAAAGTCTAACAAAACAAAAAAACAAGAAAAGCCCACACATTTTTTAAAAGTAACAAAATCACCATACAGGGGTTCAGTGTGCATTTAGCAGCCTTCTCCCAGCTGTCTTTCAAAAAAAAACCACCAACAAATAGCCCCCTAGCTCATCAAAATATACATTTTCCATTTGCTTTTTTAAATTGAAAGTAATGATTAAAAAAATAAAACTTGAAGAGATTCACCATCAATTGCCTGACTCAATTCAATGTCATGGGCAGCACACAAAGGTCAGGAAGACCATTTGCAGCACACAGGATGAGGGCATGTTGAGCTTCAAGGCTGAGCTTTCTTCCAAACAGTGTAAAATACCCACAACTCCATGTATGAAGGGACGCAGACGACTTCCTTCGAGAATTCCACAGGGCAATAGAGGCACCCGAGCTGTTGTTCGTAGAGTGAAAGGGCTTCTGTCAAATTGACACAGTTACCCTGTGTAAAATATTTTCCATCCTGCTTCAGTACTCTCATTGAAAGGTCAAGAATCAGTCTGAGAAATTCCCATGTGGAATCTTCTTCCAGAGATGTGGAGATTGGAACAGCTGTCAAATCATTAATCACATAATCAAACTGCTTGCCTTCTTTGGCGTACCTCTTCAGTACTGGAACACAGTCGTCTATGAGAACCTGATGGCAGTCTCCTGTAAGATTGTCTAAGACGTCGCCACACGTTTTTCGCATGTATTTCTTACATCCATCAATCACCATGTGGTCAATCTCTACCATCGTGGCCATCCTTGGCTTCAGTTTCACTATTTCACATAATATGCCTCCGTCTCCGCCTCCCAGGATCAATACGTCTTTGCCAGTATAATCCTCTTTGCCGCTACCCATGATAGCCCGAGTATAGGCCCAATCACTCTCCGCCAGATTAACATCCCCATTTAGGATGAGCATATTTCCATACTGCTTCGAGTGCAGAATTTTAATATTCTGATAAGGCGACTCTTCATCACATACCACTTCATCTATGTCGTACTCAACCAGGCGGCCATCAGCAGTGGGCCAGTATCTGTCGATGGCCCCTCCTCGAACTATGGGTGGCAGTCGCTTCACCCGCGCAGGACTGTCCTGACTCAGTTCTTTCACTCTTTCTTCTATTTTGTTCAAAAGACTGTCAACTTCTTTGGCTTGCGCAGTGTTGTTGTAACTCTGAACGTCCAGTGACACCAAGCCATGCGGGTAAATTCTCAAGTTGGCAAAGCTGCCGTTTTTGTTGAGGTAGGTCGCTAAACAGCCATGATCCTGCCAGGTGTGCAGCGACTCCGCCATCCCCAGCTCCTGGAAAACCGAGCGGAGGCTTTTCAAAATGGCCTCGCAGTCAGCTTGGGCTCCGAGCATGAAGTCCAACGTGCCTTGCCGCGCAGCGGCCATAGCGAGGCTCAGTCCTGGTCCGGGCCCGACAGGGGCGGCAGCGAGAGTCAGGGTACCTTGCTGCCGCCTAGTTGGCGGCCGGCGGGGACTGCCCAAAGTAGGAGAGGTTTCTGACCTCTTCAAAATCTTTTGCAATAAATGACGGACCCGGATGAGGTCCAATCATACGCCCATTACCGCCACGGTGGGTCACTGCACAGCCAGTCCTTTTCCGGCAGTATCCAGGGGCGGTCCTAGTAACCAGGCTACGTCCACAGAAGCGGCGGAACGTGAAGCCAGCACTCCAAGGGGGCGGAGCTTGGAATAAAATTGTAGGCGTGGTTGGCCTGAGTGATTGCTGAGGGAGTAGGGTAACCTAGGACGCTGTTGCCTGGAGACAGCCAGGAGTGTCTAAGTCTAAAGACCTCCGGCTGCCCCGCCTTCCTCCGGAGTCGCAAAGGCAGTGAGAGGAAGCTGGGTCGGACTCAGCCTGGCCAAGGCCATGGCTGGACACCAAAAGGAAAAGGTGGTGCCAGATGAGGTGCATCAGAACCAGATCTTGCGGGAATTGTACCTCAAAGAGCTACGCACCCAGCAACTCTACACGCAGTATCATGTGAATCCCCAGCGCAAGGGTGAGGGGCTCCACGGGTCAGGGGGGTGCGGGCTGGAGCACAGCAAGAGGGGCCTTCTCTGACCTCACCCACATGCCTAGACTTCAGGAATTTTAGGGAACCCAGGAGGCGGGGTGCGTCTCACCCCACATCGCATCAGATATGTTAGAGATATTTGGCCGCGGTAAAATGTTTCTGTTGTAAGGAAGTTGTAAGGAAGTCTTTTTATAATTTTGCCTTTGAAATAATTGCATTGGGCAGGGGTTTATGTATTTTGTTTTGCCTGTGATTTTGTTTGTCTTTAATGAAAAAAGTTTGGGGTTATTTTTCAGACTTCTAAATTGTCTTAGACCTTTGGAAAGTTCAGGGGTAGTAGACTCAGGGCCCATAGTGTCCACCTGATAAAACGGCCTTACCTTCCACTCCTCATTTTGCACATCCCTCGGGTGGTTTCACTGGTACCCTCACATCAACTCCCCCTGAATGCCACTGAGGCTTAAATGGAGCCCCAAACCCATATGACCAAACGCCCCCCAGGCCTCTCTTCCCCTGGACAATCCATGGCTGTCTCAAACTCACCAGTTCCAAAACTAGACACATCCCACCTCCCCTCCCACCTGCTGCTACTCCAGAATATCCTGTCTTTGCCAAAGTCACCACAGCCATTTATTCTCCCAAGTTAGAAGCCTAGGAGTCATCCTCAATCACTGTGTCTCTCACTCTACACATCTAAGTAAGTCCTCAGGTTAACATTTCTCTCACCTGCCCCTTCCCATGTTCCTACCTCGGTGAAACACACCATCACGTGTGTGAAGGCATCTCTGCCTCTCCTCACTTAATTCTTCCCTCTTAATAGTGCCTGAGTCTGCCTTTCTGTTCATGCTCACCCCCAGTCCTCAGTAGAGCTCTCCTTACTTCTGCCTGGATTGATCTGGTGGGCTCTTAACTGCTCTTTTCCTCCAAGTACCACCCCACCCCTAACCCTTATACTGGGGGCTAGAGGTATGCTAAAAGGCAAATTTGATCCTGCCATCCCTCTGCAGAATCCTCACAGCTTCTGAGCAGATTTGTGGACCCCAATGGGTCTGGCTCTGCCGCCCGCCCACGGAGCTTCACCCCCATCACTCCCATCCTCACCCCCCATCCTCACTGGTTCCTTCTGGCCTCTGCCCATTTCCTACCAGTCTCTGCCTCGCTTATTCCTCTTGAATTGCCCTGGCCTTTTACATGTTTCCCAAACTCACAGGGTCACTCTCAGGTTCTTTCCATATCCTCACCCAGCACAAGCCCTCACTTTATGCAGGACTCTGCTCTCATGTATCTCCCACTCCCACTCCACCATCAATTCTTGACCCTCGGGACCTACTCTGTTGTTCTGCATCTCACTTGTATTTGCCTGGAATTATGTAGCTGTATATTGTCAGTCACCGCAAATGGAATGGAAGCTCAGGGAGTGTGGGAGCCTTCTCTGTTTACAGCCCTGTCTACAGTGCACCTGTAATTACAAGCTAAGTGAGTGTCTGTGGATTCTGTACCTCTGTTATCATGTAGCTTCCTGGGTACAGATCACTGTCTGTCTAACCTTGTTTGACTGACTGGTGTGTCTGCATCCCTGAACACCAAGGCTGTCCAAGAAAACATTCTGCAATGATGAAATTATACTATATGTGTGCTGCCCAAAATGTGCTCTTGGGCACTTGAAATGCTCCTAGTGTCACTTAAGAATTGATTTTTTATTGTATTTAAGTATTCAAAGTCAAGTAGCCACATGTGGCTGATAGCCACCAAACTGGACAGTGACATTCTAGACTGTGAGACCCTTGAGGGCCTTTTTCCCTAGTGCCCAGGACAATATCTGACATGTGACAGACACTGAGAAAATACTAAATGGGTGACTGGCCTAAGGTGGGTCTTAGAGAGGGTAAGGAATTAATGTTCTAACACGAACTTGTGATACTATCTTTGCTCTAGTTCACACAATCGCCAGAAAGCCCATGTCTTGGCATGATAACATGGAAGAGCCTGCAGATGGTAAGTCCTGGGGCTTGAGACACCACTGAGATAGAACAAAGAGAGGCAGCTGGCTGCACAGCCGCAGGGTAGTCCCACCTTGGGGCAAAACGCAGCCCTCTGCTTTGATCATCTGAAAACTGGACTCATGCTAACTAAGCTTACAAGAGGCTGACATATTCTACCACACTCCCAGTCTAACTTTCAAGCCAACACAAATGTTTCTGATGACCTGAACATTGTAATCATTTGTTCATCAAACATTGGCTGTTATAAGGACAAGTTTTGGAATCACACTTAGTTCCCGTCCTGGTTCTGCCTCTCATTAATTATGTCATTTGGGTAAGTTTTTATACCTCCCCGAGCTTATCTCTAAGGATTCTTGTGAAGATTAAACAAAATGTTTCCTGTGCCTAGAACAGTATCTGGTACATGATGATCAGAAAATGTAGGTTAATATAATTGTTTTCATTATTGCTTAGTGGTAGTCACTATGCAATAGTACTCTGCAATGGGGCGGGGGGGGGGATCTCATATCATAGTGAAGAAGACAGACAATAAATTAGAGACTAGGACCGGAGTGGCAATAGCATAGAAAACACATACCTAAGTCAGGCTGTGGAGTTTGGGGAAGTCGTCTTAAAGGAGGGGGTGGAAGGACCTTCCAAGTTATATGGAAGGACACAGAAATGAGACTTCCAGCCAAGATGGAGGCATAGGTAGACCCACTGTGCCTCCTCACACAAGTAAAATAAGACAACAACAGTTTAGAAGCAAAAACAACCAGTACTGACAGAAAATTGAACTGTATGGAAGTCTGACAACCAAGCAGTTAAAGTAGACACGCTCATCCAGACCAGTAGAAGGGGCGGAGTTGGGTGGAGAGTGCTCGGGGCAAAGCGGTGGCTGGTGGACCCTGGGCGTGGGGTGAACCCAGCAAGGTAGAAGATTGTGGATGGGCATGGTGCACAAGGCGGCTGGCAGACCGGGAAGTTCCACATTTGTGCACAGATAAACCAGGCAAAACTGGGAAGTGAGACAGACCGCACAACCCAGGGCCCCAGCGTGGGTAAATAAAGCCTCAAAACACCAATTAAAAATGCCTGTGGGGGTTGAGATGCCAGGAGAGATTCCCAGCTTCACAGAAGAGTTTGTTGGAGAGACCCACAGGGTCCTAGAATGTACACAAACCCACCCACCTGGGAACCAGCACCAGAAGGGCCCAGTTTACTTGGGAGAAGAGGCAGAAGTGACTGAAATCTGGCAGAGAGTGGAGCAAGCACCATTGTTCCCTCTTGGAACCCTACCCCAAATACCACATCACATGCAGTGACTGGGTTGCCCCACCCTGGTGAACACCTAAGGCTCTGCCCCTCACTACATAACATCATATCAAGACAAAAAAAATGGCCCAAATGAAAGAACAGATCAAAGCTCCAGAAAAAATACAACTAAGCAACAAAAAGATAGGCAACCTATCAGATGCACAGTTCAAAACACTGGTGATCAGGATGCTCACAGAATTGGTTGAATTTGGTCACAAATTAGATGAAAAACTGAAGGCTATGCTAAGTGAAATAAAGGAAAATGTACAGGGAACCAATAGTGATGGGAAGGAAACTGGGATTCAAATCAATGGAGTGAACCAGAAAGAAGAAAGAAACATCCAATCAGAAAAGAATGAAGAAACAAGAATTCAAAAAAATGAGGAGAGGCTTAGGAACCTCCAGGACATCTTTAAACGTTCCAACATCTGAACTATAGGGCTACCAGAAGGGGAAGAGGAATCACAACAAGTGGAAAACTTATTTGAACAAATAATGAAGGAGAACTTCTCCAATCTGGCAAAGGAAATAAACTTCCAAGAAATCCAGGAAGCACAGAGAGTCCCAAAGAAGGTGAACCCAAGAAGGAACACACCAAGGCACAACATCATTACATTAGCCAAGATTAAAATGAAGGAGAGAATTGTAGAAGCAGCAAGAGATAAGGGGACAGTCACCTACAAAGGAGTTCCCATCAGACTGTCAGCGGATTTCTCAAAAGAGACCTTACAGGCAAGAAGGAGCTGGAAAGTAGTATTCCAAGTCATGAAAGGCAAGGACCTACATCCAAGATTGCTCTACCCAGCAAAGCTTTTATTTAGAATGGAAGGGCAGATAAAGATAGCAAACAATTAGAACAGGAACTGAACCACAGAAATGGAGGAGAGAGAGGGAAAAAGTACAGAGAATAAGTAGCATAGATGGTAAGTAGAAAATAGACAGGGGGAGGGTAAGAATAGTATGGAAAATGTAGTAGCTAAAGAACTTATAAGTATGACACATGGACATGAACTAAAGGGGGGAATGTAGGTGGGAGAGGGTGTGCAGGGTGGAGGGGAATGAAGGGGGAAAATGGGACAACTGTAATACCATAATCAATAAAATATATTAAAAATGAAAATAAAAGAAATGAGAGGCACCACCATGGCCCTAGAACTGTGAGCACTTTGGCAGGGCTACAGTAATACAGGTGGACGTCGGCCATGTGTGGGAATGAGGGAAGAGGAATGAATATTGGATGGAAAGCCTAATCCCTCCTGGAAAGCTGTTCTCCTTCCCTC